CACAGGCACCCCATGTTGCTACAGTGCTTATCACCCCCATTCTACTCTGAGACTCCCAACCTTAAAGTATATGGCAGCCTTAAATTACCTAATCCTCTTGTCCTGCAAAATCTCAAAACCTGGGTTTCATCACTTAGTGTCTCCATGACTTTGGAAAATTTTAACCATCCAAACCTTCACCTGTAAAAACGGCCAATACATTCCTAATAGGGATGATTTGAAAATTAAACAAACAGTCATATTATCTGCCTACTATTGAGCCTGACACTCCAGAGATTCTCAGTTATATACCAGTTTCTTATTATTTTGATTTAAAAGAGTCAAGCATTTTGTATTTTTGAAACTACATAGATGTCTAATCTTCTGTGTTAAGTGGTTTTAAATGATTAAAACATAGTCAATTCAATACTCTAGAATATGCTTAAAAGAATACCATTTTCCACAACACCTGCATACCTGCCACACTTCCTACCCTACTGCCATCACTGATTAAACAGGCTCAAAATCCAAATTTCTCTCAACAGTTATCGAAAAAAAACCACCCATACAATTAGACAGATGACTACACCTCCCCAAGTAAATTACTATTTAAACTCTAAAATGCTAAGATATTTTACCCAATATTTTAAACAACCTAAATCACAACATCTCTTTGATAAAATTTAATTAACTATTACTTCAGATCAATAATATTAATATAAGGGCCATCCTAAAAAGAATCGTGCATGAGCTTTTATAAGAAGTAAACAGTCAAAAAAGATTAAAAGTAATGATGAAAACTACACAGAGCTGAAATGACCACTTCTACCCTTCACTTTCAGGCTCAAGAATCCTAGAACTAATTCTGAATTGTGAAATTGGTGTGTCCCCAGCCAGAAGAGCAGACTTAATGCATCATTAATTTGGTCTGCTCTCAGCTGCCAATTGAAATAGTCACAGTCATTCGATTTTTAAGGAAAAGACAGCACTGCAGAAGTACATTCCAGAGGTCTTTCCATAAAAACCATCCTGTGTGCTCCATCTGCATGTGCAATCTGCTTGTGTATTTTCAGCCAGCTTGCATGGGCAGATTAATGCGTACAATTAGAAAGGAACCTCACAGGCATTCAATAAACTGCCTTCATTATTACACTCAGGAGAGTCCCTTTGGATGTCAATAAAAGCCTAGTTTTCTGCCTGTTAGCTAAATAATTGACAACACTAAAAATAAGCAGAAGCAAATGAACGAAGTCAGGAACAAGGTGTGAAGAAAGAGCACATTAAGATTCTCATGGTGCTGCCCCAGGTGGTTATCCTGTGCTTTTTCTCCAGCACCTTGGATTTAGTCTGTTCAAGTCCATGGCAGCCCTGTCCCACAGGAAAGACATGTTCTTCCTGGTCTGCTGTTTGAACCCTGTACATCACAGCATGCAGAAACTGGCAAGGTATTGACTCACTCTAAAGAATTTCTTATTTGGGTTTCTATTTTGAGTTCCTTCACTTGACAGCTTCAGGAGAATCTAATTTGAAGGGTAGGGGGCAGCAGTCTCGTTGGTCTAGTGAAATCTTAGTACTGTTAAAAATTCTAACAGCCTTCCTAGGCATTTTTTCATACCATAAACTAGTTCTAAGAAAATAGATAAAGACTTATTCTATAGAGGATCCATCTTTTCTAAGAAGTTCCTTTCATATTTCTAGCTATGTAATGGTCATTCATTTCATAAGCTATTGGCCTTTTAATTTCAAAAGTAATTCCAAACACAATGCTCTTAAAAGAAAAAAAGCTCACACACATATACCCCTTCTTGTGTTTCTCAATAGGCTTTAAAAATCAATTTGAGATACTTCTCATTTTCAGCTAACTTTTCTTTTTCCTGGTTAACTGGCACTTTCACGATAAGCAGAAGAAAGAGCAAGAGTGAAATGTGCATGTAATTGAATTGAACTCCACTGAAGTACGGAAAGTGGCTGAGGGCAAAACTTTTTTCTTCTTTACAGAAAAGGTGACTGATCTTTAGTATTTAGTAAAACACAAACTCAAGAAGCTGGAAGTCAATGAAAGAGAGAAGTCAGCAGTACAACCTCCAACATTTGGAATCTCTCATCCTTCACCTCACTTTGTTTCAGACTCCCCAGGGCATGGACTGGTTTAACTTCCCATTCCTGAATTTAAGACCCTCACTGGGAAGTAGGTCTTCCCTTCTCCAAGGTGAAACTAGCATGCCACAGAATAGCTTTATTTATTTTTATTTGTGACTCTAAGTAACTAAAGCCTCTAAATCTTCATCTCCCTCAACTCCTCAGGATGGAACCGGAAATAGATCCTCATCCTTCTCTATCAAAGCAGAGAGGCAATAATATATTAACACCCTTGACCTAGTGCTTCCCTCTTGCCATGTGTCTCTCCAAGAGAGTCAGTTTCTTGTGATATTCAGCTTTCTCTTTCCCAAGGAAGACAGGCTTCAGATTCTGTGACTGAAATGAGACCGGTGCTGAAGATGGCATCTCTCAGCGACCCTTCCCTTCCTGCTTCATCCCATCTCCCACCGATTTTCTGACCTGGTTCGCAGACGTCAATTACCTATCTTGCTAAAAAGCAATGTAGGCAGGCAAGAAACTTCTTTTCATTCTTGTCTCTGAGTCTTAAAGCAAGAAAGGAGCTGCTTATGATACTAATAATGGATAATCATAGCGCTATGAGAAAATTAGAAGACGTGGCACTTGGAGAAGGAATACATGCTAAGGCGTCACATACAAGTCCAGCTTAATACCTCAGTGATCTCAAATTCTGTAAATGAGGGACAACTGTGGGGAAAGAATAGGAAGCAGTTAATAAACACTGTATAGGAAAGAGGGAGGTCAACAACTGGTTCTGGTAGGACCAGAAATCTGTACAGAGCCTCTCCAAAATAAAATTGTGTAATCCCATCTAACTAGGACCTCTGTAAGAAAATCATTTCAAATCATTTCAAATCCATATAAAAGGCACTTCTATGCCATTGATATTTTATCTTTAATCTTTACAATTAGCCTATCTGATCAATATTATCATTCTTATTTTGAAAGTGAAAGTCAAATGAATAAACCACTAAAGTTCAAAGACATTTCGTAGTTTATACAAGATCACAGCTGAAACTAAGATTACAAACTAGGACTCTGTTCTAATTCTGTTATGAGACAGGTTGTTTCTGTCACACCAGGTATCTATGCTCTTTGCATCCTGAACAAGGAACTGAGCAAGATGTACAGAAGTAGCAAGAGAAGCAAGGGACTTATTAAAGCAAAAGTATAAGTCACAGAGCAGGAGCAGGCTGATGATGAACATCAAGGGTTGGCTTGACTCAGATGGATCCCATCTGGTTTTGATTTTAAGATTTTCACTGGACCCTTTTCTGAGTTTGGGGATCTGGGTTGGTACATAGCAAATATTTCTCCCAGTTCACTGGGCGTCTCCATCCTCATGTCAGAAGGAGTATTTGAATTTACATAGACCTAGCTGAACCACTATGGTGGCCAAGTCCATTAGCAGGGTCAAAGCCCAACTGCTACTATAATGGCTGTGGGGTCACCTAAGGTGGCTCTCAAACATAGCACCTGCCCCTCAGGCTCATGCCTGGTATCAGGGAGTGTGGTTAGGGCAGGTTGTTCCTATGGTCTCCAAATGCTACCAGGCACCCTGTTTGCTGTTTGCTGTGAACCAAGATGCTCCCCATGCTGCCTACTCCTACCTTGATTTTATGACAATTAGAATGTAGGATCTGAAATATAGTTCTTTTGTTTGGTCTTCTTTTAACCAAACTTTAGGTAATCTAGGTACCAAGAGATAGAACGGGATCTTTAAAGGTAGGTAATGGAGTGTAATAAAACAGTAGCTACCCTACTATGGCAACACATATTAACTGCTTGTTATGGTTTGTGTCTGGGTGTCCCCCCAAAGCCTCATGCGGTCATGGGGCAGGCTTTCAGGGTTTGATTGATTATGGGTGTGAGAGCTACACCCACCCTGGGGTGGACAGTTTGCATATGTAAGGGAAAGGAAAGGGGTGCTTCTGGCCATTTCCTCCCTTGTGTGTTTTTTTGTTGTTGTTGCTTTGCTGTGTTCTGCTGCCATGAGCTGTAGCCCTCTGCCATGTGCCAGTCTGCCTTGTAACCTGCCAAGTATGGACTGAAACCTCCACAAACTGTAAGCAAAATAAACTTTTCCTTCCTTAATTTTGGATGTCAGGTATTTTGCCCCAGCAACGAGAGGAAAGTAACCAAGACACTGCTGTTATTCATAAATCATATTATAAAAATTGCCTTGGGGGGCTGGGGATTTAGCTCAGGGGCAAAAGCGCCTGCCTGGCAAGCGCAAGGTCGTGAGTTCGGTTCCTGGTACCGGAGAAAAACCAAAAAAAAAAAAAAAAAAAAAAAAAAAAAAAAAATTGCCTTGGTATATGACTACAAACTGGAAGTTTTGACAATTACTGATAAATGATATCTAACTTTTGATTAGAACAAAATACAACACTATAATAGTCCACTAGATAAATTCTAGGTTAGTTTAGATTTTTCTTGGGTATTTCATTCACCCTCCTCCTTTTTTTTTTTTTTTTTTTTTTTGGTCTTTTCTTCTGGTACCAGGAATTGAATGCACAACCTTGCATTTGCCAGGCAGGTGCTTTGCCACTGAGCTAAATCCCCAGCCCTCACTCTCCTCCTTATATTGCTATTTTGGAAGTCAATATAATTAGAAGTACCCTGGCTTAACAAAATGTCAAGGTCTCCAAGTTATTTACAATGGAGAATTCCTAAGATTTAGTATTAATATTGCTGGGCAACTGACTATTAAAGAGTACTTTGGTAAGTATAGATGTCTCCAATCTTAGATCCTCAAATGTTGACAGAGCTCAATTACATAATTAACATAACAGTCAATAGTCTAATATTGTACCAGGTAGTTGAAAAGTTAGCATCATCTAGAATTTAAAAGCTGAATGAACAATATGTCTACAAAAGTATCAAGTTCTGAAAACACTCACTATTGGTGATGCTCCCTAAATGTTTCTCTTCTGAGCTCTTCTTGAAGTCGCTTTTTCTCCTCTAGTTTATTGCTCTGAAATTACAAATATAAAAATAAAATCAATTAATGAAGCTTTGGGACAAACCGTGATGGTGAAATGATACAAGGTTCCAGTGGCCCTAACAGTGTAATATTGTATTCTGCCAGAGGTTCCCAGATGGCATCCCCTCTCAGAACCTGGGGGCACTAGACAAAGACCAGAAGCCAAGTCAAGCATGGTGGCACATACCTATAATCCTGGCACTCTGGAAGGCTGAGGCAGGCAGACCACATTTTGAGACAGCCTGGAGAATTTAGTGATCTAGCAAGACCTTGTCTCAAAATAAAAATAAAAAAGGGCTAGGAATGTAGCTCAGTGCAGAGTTCCTGGGTTACATCCCCAGTGGTTAAAGAAAAAAGTAAAAAAAAAGAAGAAAAAAAGGAAAAAAGGGAGGAGGAAAAAGAAGAAGAGTGAAGGAGGCAGTGTGCAGGAGCCCAAATCTTTCCCTTGGCTCCCTTCTTGCAATTTGACTGGAATAATCACAGAATCAACATTCTACATTTTATTTCAGCTCAAACGATAGCAACACTTCATTTTTTTAGTCAATATTTTCAAAATGTTCCAGTGGAAACATGAAATTTATAAACCAAGTATGCTAAACTAAAATTATAATAAATAGTTAAAATTATAATAAATCTACATATACACACCCACATTCTACTAAGGCACTGCAGAAAAGATTCTCAGTAAGCCAGCCCAACTCCCTTCTGACTTAGAAGCAGATACTTAAAGCTGTTCAGAGACTAAATAGCATGTGTCCTAAAAAAAGCCGTCCACTTGAATGGAAAAGAGTTCTCCTTTTTTTTAATTAGCTGTTTCAAGAGCCTAGAGAAAAGGAGCTTCATATTTGATTTTACTGTCATCATGGCCCTAGCATATTTTAATCCAATTTAAATAACCCAGAGCACTTGCTTTCTGCTCACCATGATACAACTGTTATTTTTTAAACTTGCCTAAGAAAAACAAGTAAAATTCTTAAACAACATATTTAATAGGGAGCTGAAGCAAGTTCTTCAACACAAGAGAAATGTGAAGGTTTAAATGAATTCAAGAGAGAACAGGCAACTGAATTTAATAAAAAATTGGGTTTGCCCAGCGGAAGACCTGTGTTCACAGAATAATGGAAATCATCATCTCATACTTTGTATGTTTTGCTCAATCTTTCAAAAAGGGGGGAAAATGTTCATATTTTTTTCATTTGCATGAAAGTATGCATTCACAGAACTTTTTCCATTTTGACAGGCAAAATAGATGGTGATTTCAATTCCATAAAAAAAACAACTATAGGAAAGTTACTACTGTCAGGGGAATTAATTAAAAGGCAAGCAATTAGATTTTAATGAAACAGAATTCTAGGAAGAAAACTAATGCAAAATTTTAAATCAAATAACTATGACCCAAGTCTTGAAGAAATCCTGACTCCTGAGACCAAAAGTGCTCAGCCATGATGAGCTCCCTACACCACAGGGCAGAGGGACAGAGAACAAAAGTAAAAGACACAGAGCAAGCAGTAGCTGTGATTACACCAAATGTTAGAGATGCTTCTTGGAGAACACTGAGAAAGCCACACAAGCATCTAGAAACAAAGTCTAGGTTAGTGGTGCAAACCCCGGGCACATGTGCTGCAGCAGACTGTTTGTATCACTAAAAGCACTAAAAGTTCACTATTACTGGTCTAGGTTCTTTAACCAAGGTCAGAAATAGAGATAACCAATTTTAACTTCTTCACTGATAGACTACAATTCAAAATAGTTCCATATAACCTAGATTTTACCCAACAAAAGTCTGTTTTTCCTCAACAGAAGCAAAAAGTATTTTGGAAAATACTGGAGTATTTGAGAAATCATATTTAATACTTATCAATACAGACATCAATGTTAGCATACTCACAAAGTGTATTAGCCCAGCCTTCCTTTTGCTGGGAGAAACTACCTGACATGTACAGTTTAAAGGAGAAAAGGTCAGCTGGCGCCAAAGCAGAAGAAACATCACGGCAGAAAGGCGTGGTAGAGCAAAGCTGGTCATTTCATGGCAACTGGGAAGCAGAGAACAGGGGAACAGCACAAGAGAAGGAGTCGGAAACCAGGTATGGTTCTCAAAGTCACACTCTATGACTACTTTCTCAAACAAAGCTGCACCTTTTAACAGCCCACTCAGTTATAATCCCCTTTCACAATCTCTCTAGGAGTCTCTCAGTGAAATCAAGTTGACAATTAAGATTAACCACCCCTAATCACACCTCCTTAAAGCATACTTTATACCCAACTAAACACAATAACAAGGTCGTACATCAGCTTCACTTAATCTTCACTTTATCATCCTGCATACATCCAAAAATGCACTAATTCCTTCTCAAAAGTCCTAACAGTTCCAGCACTGCTCAAAAGTCCAAGACTCAAGATAACTCTCAGCTGTGAGGCCTAGAAAAATAAGTTATATAATCCCAAGGCATAATGGCACAGGGTAAGCATTCCTATTCCAAAAGGAAGGAGTGGAAGCCTAGAAAACAATCAGGCCAAAGTAAGGCCAAAATCCAGCAGGGTAAACTTTTAAGTCCTGTAGCTCCACGTCCAGCATATAGGGCACATTGTAAGAGGGCTTGAGTGGCCCCATCCACATGGCTTCTCTTTTGGGCTGGCTCTACTCACTGCCTGCAGCTTTCTTCAGCAGATAGTCCATTTTCCTGGGATCTTCAACTTCCTAGGGTCTTCACTGATGTTTTGGCTCTATTTCCATAACTTCACATAGCAACATCTTAGGAGCACATTTCCTGACCTTCCAGGCATTCCTTTGAAATCTTGGTGGGTGCCTCCATGACTCCAGCACTCTTGTATTCTGCATGCCTGAAAACCTAACATCACATGAACAATGCCAAAGTTTGCCACCAGTGTGGGCAGTATGTGGGCTCCATTAAGCCTTGGCTGCAGCAGCCTCTGAGCGCCTGGAGGGCTGAGCACAACGAAGTGGACCCTAGGAAAGCAATTCCATAGGCAGCCTCACTCCAGGCTGAGGCATGGGGGCTCTCTCTGCAAATGAAAGGCTGAACTGTTGCACCTTTGAGACCTGTGATAGGCGGCATCTTTCTTCTCATTCTGGTGCTGATCTCTTCAGTGACTAGCTACTTTTGGCTTCAACTTTACACATGCTCCTTTTCAGGCCAAAATTAAGTTTTTCAAATCTTCCTGCTGTGTTTTTGGCTCACAGTTTTTACTATATGTTTGGCTAAAATCAGCCAGCAGTACCATGCCACAACTTGAACACTGGGACACTCTGAACTTCCCTCCACCAGATAAATCAATTAACTTACCATCTTTAAATTGAGCTTCACATACTCTTAGGACACGGGCAAGACATAGACAAATTTTTTCACCAGAGTGTAAGTAATATGCATGACCTCCAGTCTAATTCCTAATAGAGTCCGTTTTTCCATGTGAAACCTCATGTACACATTTCTATCAGCATTCTAGTCTTCTGAGCTCCTGCCAGAATTACCCATCAAACTCTGTTCCCAGAATTCTAGGTTTTGTCTAGCTTGCACTTCCAAACCTTTCCAAATTCCTCCTGCAAACCAGACCCAAAGGCTTCTAAACCATATGTTCAAGCATGGTCACAGCAACATCTCCACTTCTTGAACTAATTTTCTGAATTGGTCCGCTTTTCTGTTGCTGAGACCAAAGGCCCAATACCCACAACTCAAAGGAGAGGTTTATTTGGCTCTTGGTTTCAAAGGACTTAGTCATAGCTGACTGTCTCCAAAGCACAAAGGTCATGCTGGAAGGGAATAGTGAAGCAAAGATGCGCAGGGGAAAAATATCAGAGAAGGGGCCATGTACAAGATGTAGCCCCAAAGGTCATGCCTCTGTGATCCACCCAGACAAATTTAGAAATGGGCTTTCACACAATCAAGGTGGCAAGCAGGATTAAACATCATAATTGCCTACCCTGGCAAATTTCATAGTCTAGCGCAAGATAGTGACAAGAAAACAATAAGCTGAATATGTTATATGAACGCAGTTTGCAAGTCAAGTGATATGAACACACACAAAATCACAAAAGTAGATTGTCAGGAAATGCTCCTAACAGTTCCACATTATTCACACAATGCCTAACAAATGACAAGTTCCATCTTACACACCAGAGCCAAAAAGTTTAATAACATGCGGAATGTAGTTTCTAATCTCAGGTATATATTTAGGAGCACATTTTTTTTTATGGAGAAAGGCTTTTCTCAAATTTTTCCAAAGTGCTGATAGCCAAATTAACAGATAAAAGCCATGGGTATAATGACAGAAACTATAGGTGGATAACAATCTTAAATAAGCTAGAATTTTCCAGGAGGAGGAATACAAGGTGAAAACAGGGGTATTACACTCCACTGAAGGCAGATTACTACCTACAGTGTTCCAACACAGGGCTGTAGCCCCCCCCAAAAAAGAAAACTAGCATTCTGCTCTGTAATATTTGCCCCCACCCCTGTCTTGTGGGGCTGCTTCAGAGCAGAGAAGACATCCTTCTATCATTTCTCATAAAGGCACCAAATCGCACTACTGTGAGCACCCAAAACTGACTGACTGGACTGGAAAATTGGTTTCTGATGTTCACAAAAGTAATGATATGCCATTAGAGGCCTTGACTGGGAAGAGGGCATTCCCAGAACACACACTGTCTTCTGTACATCCAGAGATTGTGCCAGGGAAATCCAAAGAGCTCAAGGATAAATCAAAAAGTGTTTGTAGAGAGAAGTGTAGGGGGCAATGAATCTTAGCATATTATTTTAGATAAAATAGTTTTGGTAAAAGCCTATATGGTGCCTTGGGAAGCCTCTCGGGACAGTGTAAGAGCTAATTCCCCAGATCAACACTGCCCAGGAATGTCTCCCCAAGATAAGGGGGCGCCTAGGCCTAGGTAACCCTCCATGACCCTGCCTGGGCAGTTCCATCTCCTGGCCCTAGGTAAACACTGTAACCACAAAGGAACTATATGGTTATCTAAA